GAAGTGAATTTTTTCAACTTTACTGTTCCATGTTTAGGCTTAAAGAAAAGAATTACTTTATTTACTTTTTCTTACATCTGAGTATAATCATCATTTGTATCATTGTTTTATGAGCTTTATCATAATTTTTCATTGTAAGTGTCTACCTGATAACTCAGGATAGTATGTTACATACAAAAGACAATATCTTGTGTACTTTCCCCAGTTTGAACATTTATCAAGTACATTGTCATGGGTGGGGCATTTCATGTGTACAAGTATCTCTTTCCTTGCTTGTAAAAAGGGATAATAATGATCTCTCATCTGACTTTGCCATTTCAAAGTTATAAAAATTTATGACTCATTATTCTTCTCAAAGTTCTATAATTTTTGCTGTAACACTTAAGTCTTTGATTCATTTTGATTTAAATTTTGTTTATATTGTTTCATACATTGTTTTGCAGGTAGATAGCCAGTTGTCTCTCCATCCAGTCTTTGCAAAGACAATTCTGCAAAGAATTACATTGGCATTGCTGTTAAAAGTCAATTCAGCACCCATCTAAAATATACAAGAAACTGCAACTATTCAATAAAAACGTTAAACTTATTAAAACTTAAGCAATGATCTGAATAGATATTTCTCTATAGAAGCCTTTCAAAAGATCGAAAGGCATATGAGAAATTTCTTACTGTCTCTATTAATCAGCAAGCTGCAAACTGAAACTACAGTGAGATACTGTATTATCTCACAAGCATTAAAATGACTACTATCAAAAAAACAAATGAATAAGTGTTTGTGAGAATATGGAGAAAATCATCACTCACTGCTGGTGTGGATGAAAATTTGTGCAGACAGTCTGGAAAACAATACAAAGATTCCACAAAACACTAAACTAGAATTGATCTATGACACAGCAATTTCACTTCTGGGTATAGATGCAAAGGAATCAGAACAGACATTGTTAAAGAGATGTCTATATTTTCATGTTTATCGCATCACTGTTACAATAGTGAAGATATTGAAATAGCCTGTGTTCATTTATTCATAAATGAATAAATGGGAATATTATTCAGCTTTACAAAAATATCTGTCTTTTGTGACAATATGAACGAACCTGGAAGATATTACATAAATGAAATGAGCCAGGCATAGAAAAATAAATACTGAATGACCACACTTATATGTGAAGCCTAAGAAAGTTGAACTCAAGAGTAGAGATTAGAATGATGGTTCACAGAAGCTGAGGACGAGGGGCAGTGGACCGGAAAATGGAAAACATTCATCAAAGGGTACAAAGTTTCAGATCCACAGGAGAAATATGCTCTGGTGATTTATTGCTCAGCATACTGACTCCAGTTAACAGAGTGCATTGTCTATTTCAAAACAATTAAGAAGATGAATTTTAATTTTTTTGGCCACAAAAAATTACAAGTATTTGAGGTGATAATACGTTAACTGATGTGATTCAATCATTCCACACTGTATTCATGCCTCAAAATTTCACACAGTATCTCATAAGTACATACAATTATTATTGTCAATTAGAAATCAAATAAAACTTTTAAAAAACTAATTCATTGTGTGTAATAGCTTACTTCAGACTCTCCTGCCTATTTCACTA